GAGCTCACTGAAAATCAGATTTTATGGGCGGAGAATTGTTTAGGAGGTCTTTAGGTCAATCTCCATGTTAAGAAATGACCTGCTTTATTGAGTCAGATGTGTCGTGCTTGCCATCTGCTTCATCATTTCTGTAAATTGTATCTTCTTATAGTCTATCTAATAGTTTTTTTGTATAAGTTACAAACAATGAAACATTATAAAATGTTGCAAAAAATAAATTCTCTTAAATCACAGGGGTGAAAAACTGCACAGGGAAGGAGGAACATGACAATTTTAACAAACACAAACATCATATTATAATATTTGATGTATTCTTCTTGGTGTCCACCCACTGCGCATCACAACATACACACTTGTCCTTAAAAAACAATTAAAAAAGGAACCAACACACAGTCATTACATACAAGAAAATATAACAAATGGTATAACACAAAAAGAAAAAGTTTATATAACTTTCTCCCACACAGTGCTATTTTGAGTTGCAGCCACATGATTCACTAATGCTTTCATTAAAATGCAGGTGTATCTAATAAAGTAGACACACACGCACACACACACACACACACACACACACACACAGGATGGGGGCGTGGTGGTTCAGACAGCTCCAGCACAAACTGCTGACAGGCTTCTCTCGCCGCAGTTTCTCCTCTGAGGACCTGGAGATGTGCACACTGACCGCAGGCTTAACAGATAACAGCACCAAAGTTGGTGTGTTGTTTTTTCTTCATCTTCTTTGGCTTGGCCACGAAAGCGTTTTACATGCAGCAAGTTCTTCTTTTTTTTTTTTTTTACAGTTAGAAAGTTTGAGCGCAGAGTTTCCCATGAACACACGCTGGGACTGTAACGATGATAAAACAACATGAAACGCGTTATTATATAACAGGCTTTTCCTGTGCGTGGTCGTTTTGTGTCTGCAAGGCTCAATAGTGAGTTTTTGGCGACTTTTATTTTGAAATATTCACTTTTTATATAACATTTATTGAAATTGCCTCCTCATTGGGGTTCACGGTGCGCATTAGAGCGCTTTAAAAGTGCATTACGCAGCTTATTCTTTAACTCAGGAGTCAAATATTTCAAGTGTTACACGTTGTTGCAGCTGTTTGCCTCCATACATGACTTCAGACCGACTCTCGCTGGCCAAACCCTCCGCGTTTTGCAACTGTCCTCCATGCGGAACCCATAATTGGAGACCTCACTGTGCCATCCACTCTGCGCGCGCTCTCACTCGGTGCAGTAATGATGCAGCAGCACGAGCGCCTGCTCAAAGTCTTGGTCATCGGCGACCTCGGGGTCGGTAAAACGTCCGTGATAAAGCGCTACGTGCACCAGGTCTTCTCCCAGCACTACCGGGCCACCATAGGAGTGGACTTCGCCCTCAAAGTGCTCAACTGGGATCACAAGACGGTGGTGCGGCTGCAGCTGTGGGACATCGCCGGTGCGTCAAAGTGTGGCTGCGTGTGTGTGTGTGTGTGTGGGTTACATCAAGATTGTGGTTAAGCCAGAAAAGACACCTGTATTTAAAGAGCTAATGTTCATACTGTATTTGCATAGTCAAATACAGTATGTAACTTGCTGAGGAGACAGTAGCTGACTGTCTGTTTGAGGCAATCCTGTTAAAACTAGTCCACAAATATTGAGTTTCAGTTAATCATTAGATTGAGTGAGTCTGCCTAATGCAAGAGAGTCAAACAAGATAGCCTTTATTTTACTATTTATAAGTTGTTTTATGGACATGCACAGTTTTTATTTTGTCCTAAATGTTCCTGAACCCTGGCAGACTTCATTCTTGGCTGCTCAAAATCAGCAAAATGCTCTTAAAGTACCAAAAGTTAACTTCATTCTGCACTAAAATGGTCCCTGTCAGTGTTACTGTTATGTTTTTTGATTAATATTATTGCTACGTTAATGTGTATGTTAATGTTTTGCTGCTGTAGGTGCCGAATGTTGAGTTAATTTTACTTTATGTACTGTTGGGTAGTTTAATGTACAGCCATGCATTTCTGTTCTTCACACATCATCACAGCCTATTTTCAGCTTTGTGACAATGTATTTTCCACCCAATCCAACAGGGTTTAAACACAGGGTTAAATAGTCTATTTAGCTTTAGAAATAGGAGAGTGTTCTCAACCCGTAAAGGAACTCTTAAAGGTCCAGTGTGTAACATTTAGGAAGATCTATTGGTAGAAATGGAGGCGGAGGTTGCCACGTTCAGTCGCCATGTACAGTGGACCTTTTGCCTTTTTTTTTTGCACCGTAGTTTCTCCTACACGCTTGGAAGGGGTGAGTGGTATTCAGTTGGTTGAAATCCTACACACTGGTCCTTTAATCCTTCACTTTACCAAAGAAGGGTATAAAAATAAGTGTATTCTGAAAAGTAACTAAATCTGTAAAGTGTAGCGGAGTAAAAATATAAAGTTTAATAAAAGGGAAATAAAAAAAAAAGTACAAGTACCTGAAATTTGTACTCAAGTACAGTACTTGAGTAAATGTACTTAGTTACATTCCACCACTGGCTAGCTGCAGATGACTGACATAACATACATTAAGTATTATTTAAGTACTGTATATATTAACATATATTAAGTTACATTAAGGGATTTTATAGATTATAATCATTTCTGTCTATATGAGTTGAGTTTATGGCTGCAACTTAACAATTATTGACCAGTTAATCAAATCTTTAATCGATAAAAGGTCAACAAGACCAAGACCAAGCCTTTCTCAAAGCCTCAAGGTGTCATCTTAAAAGACTTTTTTTTGTTGTTCGACCAACCCAAATCGTACAGTTTTTAATATGACAAAGGAAACCTGCAAATCTTCACATTTTAAAGGCCAGAAGTAAAAAAAGCATTCTGTCTTTGTCACTATTATTGCTTGAAAAACTTTAATGAACATGCACAGTTCATGTAGTATCAATGTTCTCCTGGCAGACTCATACTTCACTCATACATAAAGCAACAACTTTAATACTCAGATTCTTACTAGTCAGAATGTAATTAAATTAAAGCTTTCAGCAGTCAAAAATGTTTTGCTGATATTTTTATCTTTTTAAACGTCAGATCTACTGGCACAAGCACAATGCAAGCAAGAAGCAAATATACTTAGGCAATACAGTATTTAGCATCTCACTCATTGGCTGCATTTTGCTGACGTATCCAACGATGATAATGCATGATACAAGGAGTGACCGCCTAGAAAATGTGGTAAACCTCTGTTCCTGTACATGAAATGGTGAGTTAGCCCTCCAGTACATCCCATTACCTACTATGGTAGGTATTTTATGAAGAAAAGCTTGTTGTATTTGGCTTATAAAACCCATCATGCCTCCCTAATTGCATGTAATTTGATGTTCTTTTGGAAGTACTTTTTCTCCTCGTCTCCCAGCTGTCTCATACACATGGACACACACTGTAGTGTATCTACCTCTTGCTGAGCGTGTGGGTGTTGAGCGACATGATAGCTGATAAAAGCCGTCATTTACATGAAGACATCCGGCTGAGGCTGTTAGTCCGACGGACTTTAGACCAGTAACCAGTGATGACTTCCCACTGGAGTCACTGGAGGCTTTTAAACTGGGTCAGTGGGTCTTTCTCACACACAGAGTTGTCAGATTAAGTGTGTCAAGTGATAATTGCATCACGGTTGGGTGCGAGTGAGTGTGTTTATCTAGATAAAGTTAAGTCTAGGCTCGCTTTCACTCAATTAGCTGACTCTTTTAGTTAATACAAGGTCGCAGGAGTGTTTTCAAGTCAAGATGCAGAACGTTTTTTGCATTATAATGTTTGCAATATTAGCTACAAGTGTTGATATGATCAGTAAGTAACAAAAATGCCAATAAAAAGTCTGTCAAGTCATTACGTCTTTTTGTAGACTGACCTGGAAGGTAGCTTCACTCAGTGCTAAATTAGCAGATTTCAAATGGAAGTTTTGCATCGGAAGACAATTACAGACTTACATATGAATATTCATATATTTTGATATAAGATAATCTCCAAAAAGTAAGTTCATCTTTATTTGAACTCAATTACAGTAAAACAAACATTGTGCAGCATAGAAATTCACAGTGAAGATGTTATAAGAATAGTTTGACATTGACAAATACACTTATTCATGTTCTTGCCGAAACTTAGATGAAAAGATAATTCATTCATAACCCCCAATAAAATTACAACGTGTCATTTTTACACTTCTGTTGTTACCTTTGGACAGAGCCAGGCTATCCCCTGTTTCGAGTCTATGCTAGCTAGCTATAGCACCAGAGAGGCTTTCTAACAAGTGGTTAATGTTGTGAAAGCGTCTGTTAAAACCAAACCGTGATATTTTCCTAAACCTAACCAAGTCTCCCAGGTCCAGGTCCTGTACTCAACCCATTCACCCACCACGATGTTCTTGCTAGAGTTGAACTTTGGTGCTATTTATACTACATATAAAGCTTTTTTTTACTAAACTTACCTGGCAAGCTATGGCACCTGGCCAATCCTAATAATACTATGTGTGGGATTCATAATAATAAGTATCAACCTACTTATCTAACTCTTAAATAATGTTATTTCCCCAAAATGGTGAACTAGTCCTTTAGATTTCTCCACTCTGTGACTGTAATTGAGTGTGTGTGGTTCAAATACAGCTGAAGTTTATTTTAAAGGTGATTGTTGGAGATGATTTTATCGAGCTAAATGGTCATACTGGAAGTGTTTACTCACTACAAGCAGATATTTATATTCGTGTGTGAAGTTAACTTCCACACTGATAACATCATGTTCATGATGCATCATTAAACAGGAAGTTAGCAAAACCGCTGATTGTAGAGACACGTTTTGTGTTGTTTTAGTGTGTGAAGTTCTGTCGATTGTTTAGTCCTTGTGAAGCTTTTTACAGCTATACAAATTTACATATTTACCATTTTTAGCTTATATAATGTAAAGCAAATGTTATGATTCTTAAAATACCAATTGTATGAACTGTTACTTCAGAGTAACTTTGTTTCTCCACGAACAGCATAAACTTTGCCACTATTGGTCTTAAGCTTTGACTGTTAGCATTCATCAGATAAAGTTATGCGCACTCACTTTCTCTTAAGTGAAAGACAAAGATAACATCGGCTGTTAGGAAGAAGTCAAGTCAGACTGCTTGTATGTGTGTGTTCAGTTTTTGTTTTAAGCTGTTGTCTTGCTGCGTAGGTCATGTGCATTGTGTGTGTGTGTGTGTGTGTATCAGACGCTCACTCGCTGATTCACCACCGTATTAGGATCATGTGGAGGAAGTTAGCATCCAGGATAGAGACTTATTCATACGCTCACACACACACGTGGTCTCACACACACACACACACACACACACACACACACTTGCATGCAATGTCTTTTTGCTTGAGCACATACGGTTTGATAAAATGTTATTTAAACTGTGTTTGGTTGCTGGCGTCCTTGAGCAAGACACAGATATTAAAGCTGCAACGATTTATTAATTAATTAGTTAGTTGATCGACAGAAATGTAACGGGCAACTATTTTGATAATCAAATGATCATTTCAGTGATTTTTCAAGCAAAAAATGACAATATGCATGTTGCAGGTTCTCTAGTGTGAAGATTTGATGCTTTTTTTGGTCACATCTGAATACCTTACATCATGGCTCAAATGAAAAATGATACTTGAATACTTGAAACCTCGGGTTACAGGAATTTATAATAGATGTTTTTCACCATTCTCTCAAATAATCAGCATAATTAATAATAATTAATACAGATTTCTGTAGACATCCTGGAATTTAGGTCACTCAGAGCTAAATTTACTGTTAGTTACCGCCATAAATCCTCAATTTCAAAAGCAAGTTGCTACAAGTTAGACGAAATCTGTATTTGTCTCTATATAAGTCTGTAATCAAGATTAGCTTAGACATAAGTACATTTTCAGGTTATGAAGTGTGACTTTTTGAAAGCAGTGTCTGAAGCTCCTAAATGGTTAACAAAACCCTGCACAAAAATAACATTGTCTTTTCCGTTTTCTTTAAAAGGGCAAGAACGCTATGGCAACATGACCCGTGTGTATTACAGAGAGGCGGTAGGGGCCCTCGTCGTCTTCGACATGACCAGACTGTCCACGTTTCAGGCCGTCCTCAAGTGGAAGGGAGACCTGGACTCAAAGGTAAATATGATGAAGGAATGAAGTAGAGAGAGAGAGTTTGAGAAGGAATGAAAAGACAAATCCTCAGTTTGTATCTATAATTAAAAGAAAATATCTACCCTCTGATACACTATAAAACATAAATTAAAAAAAATGTTTATGCATCAAACATTCAGCCCATGTAGCTGACAGACTGACTTCTTTAATTAATTCTTGTTCTGTATCAGCATTTCCATCCACTCTTGTCGACTTCTGCTTCAGTCATGACTACCCACATTACCTAGAATAACCTAATAACCTACACAGACTGAGCATGCAGGCCCAGCTAGACAGCAGGGGGCCCTTAACTAGATTTTCTTTAACTAAAATTTTCCTGGAGCTGAGAAGTAAAACTATACATATCAAACTATTATTTGTTTTATGAAATCGGTGAGATGAAAAATTAATCGCGGTATACCTCAGAAATAAAAAAAGATTCTCTAAATTGATATATATAGTAGATTTATGTCTAATAACCGTTTAATCTTTTAAATAATCTCATTTTGTTTAAAAAACTGCCAAAATAAGCAAGTCATTGATTTGACTACTTCCTGGTTCCTTTAGGTTGCCCTTAGCAACGGGAGGTCGGTTCCAGTCGTGCTATTGGCCAACAAGTGTGACCAGCGGCGTCATGGGTTGTGCCCCAAGCTGCCCAAACTGGAGAACTTCTCCAGAGAGTACGGATTCGTCGGCTGGTACGAAACCTCCGCCAAGGTAAGGCGTGCTTGTCTTCTGTTTGTGTGTCTTCTTCTTCTCCTCATGGGATGCAACTATTGTTTGAACCTGTGATCTGTTTCTGTCATCCGCGCTCTCGTCTTTCTTTTTCCTCTGTAAACAATTGCACAGTTTATCACTATAACACTTCTTAGCCTTTCGTCTCACACACTTATTTCCTCTTTTGTTTCTGTATTTACCCCAGTTTCGCTCTCTCTCTCTCTCTCTCTCTCTGTCAACTCTTTCTCTGTCAGTGTCTGTTTCTCACTTTAAACCTGCACTAGTCCACGGTTCAATATGAAAAAAACAAAACAAAATAATCACTAAAAGTTCTGTTGTCTGGTATGGGCACTAGCAGCAGTGGTGGATGCATTTATAGTGAAACAGCTTAGTCACGGTTAGGATAAGCAACATACCACTTTACCATGTTTTCTGTACTGGAAGGGCACACTAGAGGGCACTTCATCATGTTTTATCTGCCGTAGGGGCATTCAATAGGGAATGTTCACACTTACCAATAAAGGCCAAAACTTCCCCTCTAACTTTAGAGAAACTTGTGCTCAGTAAAGTAGTAGTAGTAGGCTAGAATAATTAAATTTCGGCTTAATAAGTGTTCAAACAGCTTTTTCGTGCTGACATTTGTAGCCGGTAGCTTGCAGTAACACATTTATCTGCATTCATTTGTAATTGAGAGCCTAAAATAAGTTAAAAAGATTTGTGGACAAAGAACTTAGTGTGGTACATCTGTTCTATTTATTTGAATGGATTTTATTTATCTTCTTATTCAATTTAACTGTATTAAAAGGTTAAATGTTAGAAGCACAGCTTTTTATAGTGCTCCATAAAGAACCTGAATAACTCTTCTGACCCTGCTAGTCAATGTCCGTACTTATCAAATATTAACAGTAACAGGGTGGACAGTTCGTTTCAATCCATGATAAAGAAACTCATGTTTGATTTAACTGAAAAGAACAGATAAACGATGGAAAAAGTAACTATGTGTAACGTGAAAGTGATGATGGTTGTCAATGTAAAAGATAATTCAAGTCAAGAAAGTCGCAGTTTTTAGTAGTACAATTTAGTTTTGCGTAAAACTGCTCTGTGAACTACAATGCACAATACACATCACCAACACCAACATGGCCGTCACCTTATCTACAATTTCTAACTTGATGTGTTCTATCCAGTGACTCCTTTTATCAGCATTTGTCCATCATCTTGGATGTCTGCAATCAGCTGATATTAATGTTCTCTTGGTTTTTACCCTACATTCACTTAAAACTTGTATTTTCTCACCCAAAAACAGAGCTTTTCTAAAACAGGCTCCAGAGTGTATACATCTGAAAACTGGCTTTGAGTTATAGTGAGGATGAGGAAAACAGAGCTTTTGAAAATGCTGATGTTTTCTAACCCAGACATCAACATTTTCATGCTCCTCCAGGGTAATCCCAAAGCGTTCCCAAGCCAGATGAGATATATAATCTATTCTGGGTCTGTACCACGGGCTCTCTTTCAAAGGAAAAATCCAGGCCAGACTGTCTCTAAGGCACAGTCCAGCCACCCTACAGATCGGTTGTGTCCACAACCTCATTTTTTCAGTTGCTTTCCCAAAGCTCATGGCTATGTGTGATGTTTGGAACTTGATTGACTGGTAAATCAAAAGCTTTTTCTCCCAACTCAGCTCCTTTTTTAACCACAGTGGCAACATAATAGCAGACACCACATCAATCAGCCTGTGGATCTCATGCTCCATTTTAACCTCACTCATGAGCAAGAACTCCTTCACTTGGGGCAGCAACTCACTCCCAACCCCTCTTGCTTCCTGGCCAATTCATATTTGACTCCAAATCGCCTCATTACACACTGGAGGTCACGGTCTGATGAAACCAAGAGAGCCACATCATGTGCAAAGAACGGAGAAGCAATTCAGAGGTCCACATATAAATAGCATTTTCAAATTTAGCTGGTTAAGTGTTGTTACAGCTGTCTCTTCCCTTGTTTCTCTCTCTCTCTGTACCTCTATCATCCTTCTCTAACTCTTGACCTCTGCCCTCTCTCTCTCCAGGACAACACCAACATTGACGCAGCCATCACGTGCTTGGTAAAGAACATCATGTCCATGGAGGAGGAGAGAGCCTTGAGTGATGCAACAGCCTCCACCGCCAAAACCGAAGCAGAAGGCAGCGTTCTGGTTCTGCCTCGCTTCGACTACAACGTTAAGGAGAAGGGACTCGGTGGGTGTTCAGGGTGTTCCTCACTTAAACCCAGAGACGGAGACAACGACTGATTGATGTTTCTGAACCAAGAGACTGGAAAGAGACGAGAGGAGATTACTTTGATGAATGATGAATATGTTCTAACTTAAAGCTGCATCCCCTTCCTCCATCCCTTTGTTCTCACAAACAAATTTCCTCTGAGATGTTAGAAGAAGTTTTTTAGAAAAACGTTTTTTTATTTAATAAAATAATTGTTTTATTTTTGCAACCAAAATTGAGTTAAAAGTTAGTTCCATTATTATTATAAATGTATTATGGCTTTGACTCATGTTTTTATGAACAATTTGAAGGATTTTGTCTACAATACAGCAACACTTTACAAGCTTGAGACACGTGAGTTTTAATTTCTTGTTTTATTAAAGGATTCAATCCTTTTACTTGTGAATAACAGATTGAAAGTAATTATACAATTGTTTTATATTCATAAAAGTGCACTTTCTAATCATATCTTTTCTATATCTCGTCCAAACACAAGTTATTTTTTTTGGCTTTGATGCTTTTGTTGTACAAAACAAACAGTGCGTGTGATTTCTCTTTGAAAATAAGAAAAACAGGATTTAAATGTATTTAAACAATATCAATTTAATTCAGTTGGATTTGATAAAACTTTATTTGTATAGTGCCAATTCATAATAAAAGTTATCTCAGGACACTTAGGCAGGTCTAGACCATAGTCCTTATAATTTTTTTTACCGAGACCCAATAGTTCCCACCATGAGCAAGCACTTGGCGGTAGCGGCAAGGAAAAACTTCCTTTTAAGAAGAAGAAACCTTGGGCAGACCCTTTTCTTTATTTAAATTGAAGACAAAAACACTGTTCTATCCAAATGCATGTCCGGTATTTTGTCTGTAAATAAAATGCTGAATAAATAACTTTATGTGTTTAGCAGCAGTTGTCATGGCACACTGCTATTTAAGCAGCTACTTAAGTGAGTATAGATTTATTGATATTTTATACAAGATAAATTAAGATGGTTTTGTTTTGTATCTTTAGTGTAAGTGAGCAGTATTTTAGCTGTCACAACATGGTCTAATGACTTTCACACCCATGTCAAAGTGTAACTGCAGGCCTGACAAACTCTGTTCGAGGCATTGCTTCAATGTTTTTGGTTTAAAGGTGAACAGCTTGCATAGACAAACAAGAATGCAGCTTTGTATTTTTAGAAAGCACGTGGTGCAAGTCAGTATTTATGTCCGCTATCTTGGTGTGTTTTTGCCTCAACATGCTTATCTGTAAATATTCTATGTTGCAGAGTTATTCTACCTTTTGTTGAAAATAAAAATCTGTCTGAAGCCACAAAACTATGTCTTTGAGCCTTATAATGCTAATTTCTCACCACAGATCAAGCAGATGCATTGGTGGTGAAAGCCAATAAATCTGTCCACACACTATAAAATCCTCTATTTTCCATCAAGATGTTTCTTTTTAGATTTTGAATCCATAGCTAGTGTAGCAAGGGAGACTCAAGACCAGTAGCTACCGCTATCGAGGATCTTTGAGGATAAGGACATAACATACAAGGCACATTTTAGGTGACAAAATGTTGAAAGAAAATGTTTATCTGTGTGTAATGGCTACTCATTTGTACAACTGGGTAATATAAGAATCACTAGGCGTACAACAATGATAACAAAACAAAACAAAAATTGTTCATGTAATTTCGTGGTTAAAGCCACAGGGAGCCACTGGAGAGGGGCTAAAGAGCTGC